ACTGACATTTTGGTTATGAAGTGTTATGAAGTGTACGTTATAAAGTTAGCCTACATTCCGATCGTCATTGTTATTTATTTTTCTTGAGAAAAAAATAAATTATTTCCCAATATGACGTTTCACTACTGTTACGTATTCACGTCGACAATAATAAATAGAAATTTAAAAAAAGGAGAAAATACAGCACCTAACTCAAATATGGAATAAATTAAAAATAGCAAACAGATTAGGGGTAATAGTTTTGAAAGCAAGATTATAGCGTCCATACAATTGCGGTTTTAATAGAAAGTAACCTAATTATCATTTAAATTGAAAATTAATCGAGTTAAATTGAATTTGAAAAAGAATTGAATTGAAAATTTAAAAATAAAAGAAATGATATTTGTACAGCGGAAATAAAATAAATACGGATTGGATTTTTCAAAACTATATATTCCTAGGTCCCCAATCAAGATCCTACATATGTTAAGAAGCTTTTCAACGTAGATATATTTTGAATCATGTTTTTATTCAGCACGATCCAGTTCACGTGCCACGATCGATAACATCGCTGCTGTTTAAATTTCTAGAACGTGTTAAAGTAATTCTAGAGTTTCTGCCGAGTCGGTAGCCGTGTTAGTCAGGCCCTATCAAACATAAAAGTATCATCAACATGAAATCAAACTCAAGGAGGAGCATTTTTTTTTAAATTGCTCATACTATTAAATTCTTTCAATGCCTGTCACTCTCTTCTTTATTCATCTCAGCTTCAACCTTTACGTTCACTATAATAGACATTATGCAACCTCATGCAAGAAGATGTTCTTCACGAGCCACAAAAGTGCCTTCATTTACTCTCTTGAAAACTGAAAGTAACGGCTTTATATAGCACCTTCTAGGAAGAAAAAAAATTCTTAAATGAAAAGTCACTTAAACTGCAACTGGAACATTAAAAAATTCTTCTCTTTTTTAAAAATACTTTCTGGAATTAATTTCAACTTTTAATTTCTATAATAGAATTCTCGAAAGTTAATTTTTCCTTTAGTCTCCCTCTGAGGGAACTATAAACGACCTTTTGTTTTATGGGTCTGCGCGGGGGAAAAAGAAAAGAATACATAAAAATGTAGTCGAACAGAATTCTTGGATCGAGTTTTATGTTTGAAGAATTCCGGAGCGGAGCGTTTAGGAAACTTGGACGTTTGATCGACGAGGTATTCCGAAAGGTTACACCGTGAGGCCAGATTATATACCCGCACAAATAGTAAACGCTAGAGAGAGAGAGAGAGAGAGAGAGAGAGAGAAAGTCTATGCGAAATACAAGTCCTAGTGGTCACGATTTCAAGACGTACGAGAGTAGTCTGACCTCGAGGATAAATTGTTTCGAGTTCTTAAATTCCGAAGCAAGCAGTGTACCAAGGTTTGTGTACATGTGGTACTAAAACAAGAAAGATGATCGTGAAACAATACAACTAACCGCGAAGTTTTTTCACTCTCCTAAAGTGGATTTTATTGTCAAACATTTAAAAATTTTTTTAACACTTTTGCCGCTTAGGATGGAATTCTAACAAAGACTAGGAATGCAATTTGTAAAGTACTATTCACATACGGGATGTTTTTTAATAACTAAAGATGTAAAGTGGCTTTGCAGAGTCAAGTGACTAAATTTGTTACGTTCAGTTTAAACAAGAATTTTTTCGTGGAGGAAATTTTTGTTACGTTCAGTTTAAGCAATAACTTTTTTATGAAGACAGACATTTTTTGAACCCTTGCCAGTCCTAGGAGATCCCTTCTCTTCTGCGAAGACCCAGGACCAAGCAAAGGCCAAATTTTTCTTTCGTTTGTTACGTTCAGTTTAAGCAACTATTTTTCTATGCAGACAAAAATTATTTGAACTCAAGCTTGTCCTAGAAGATCCTTTCTCTTCTGCGAAGACCTAGGATAAGCAAAGACCAAATTTTTCTTCTATTTGTTACGTTCAGTTTAAACAACAATTTCCATAAAGATGAAGATTCATTGAACCTAAGCCAGTCCTGGGAGATCCCTTCTCTTCTGCGAAGACCCAGGACTTAGCAAAGGTCAAATGTCTTCTACTCTTACCCTCTTAGCATCTGCAAATCCTACGATCAACCTGTGAACAAAAATCCATTAATTATTAATACAGAGATAATAAAAATTTCAATATTAATATGACTGTGATATGAAGTAAAAGGTGTTTTAACTTTCAGTTTCGATTGCAAGTTTTGCGATCAAAAACAAAATATCATTACGGTTAAGATGTCCAGTCATGCGATGCCGAACAGTAACACGTGACGTGGGTCCGTGTGACACATAAAATTAAGTGTCATATATGAGCAACTGGAAAGTGAGTCGCATTTAACTCGACTGGGTGGTTCGGTTAGTTAAGCAAAACTTCTTTTTTTTGTCCAATGTGATCGCGACGATTTTGTCGTGTTCTAGATCCAGCCTTTTCCTTTCAAAGGGTCAAGACATCAGAACTACTCTCCAGATTGGGAATGAGCTGATGTTCAAATGCACTCCGATTCATCAAAATCTCTGTCACGTACTGCTTTACCGTTAACCGTCTGCCTTGTCTCTTGATTATTCTTCATCTGCTTTCTTGTTTGATTCTTCATTATAAATTCGATCATCATATTGTTACTTTGATGATTGGTTTATGGAATATTTGTTTTTGGTGTCTAATATTGTTTTTTTGATTTGTTTTAATTGTCCTTTTTTTGGCGATTCTAAATTTGCGGTAGGAAAAAGAAAAATAAATAAAGAGAAGGTTGATAACCGAAAAAGTCGAGCGACACGGATTCGATGTTGTAGCATTTTAAGGAAACAATCAGCAGGTTGTTGCTCGAACAAGGATATGAATGTATAAGGAGTGCAGTTAACACGGAGGACCGCCGTGTCTCCAACTTTTTGCTTTGGGGTCCGCACTCAAAAGACGCCGCTTATACTACAAACTACTTGCAGCAGTCGTGAGAAGGCGAAGGAGGACCAGAAAAAGAGTAAGAGGACAAAAATGGTTGGGGAAAGAGGATGCGCGGCCTCTGCCTCAGGATCGTGTCGATAAATACGACCGATGTCGTCGTACAGGAGAGAGAGACTCTTTTTTTTATTATTATTTTGCAAAGTTTCTCTTGGTATTCATGGCACTTCGTAGTCTCATCCACAATCCTCTGTGGTTCTTTCTTCGCAAAAGTCCATAGGAAATTCCTCGTTTCTTGCCCAAGACAAAGTTCTTCTTCTTCTTCTTTTCTGTCCTCCATTCTTGTCCCTGTCTTTAAATTATTGTTTCCACAGTGACTGATAAATTTTATCCCTCTCTACATTTCAAGTAAAATTATTGACGAAAAACGGTTGTTAAGGTACTTAAAGTTTCTTCTTAATCGTTTGCGTATAAAAGTACCGTTTTTTTATTAGTCCCGAAATCTGTACTGTTGACAACTTTCAATCTAATTATAGAAATAAGTAGACTAATTTATTTTTTTTAATTTTCAATTAACATAAAAGGTGGCGCCACTCGCTTTCAGTTTGCGTTAATCGCGTCATCCGGAACGGAATGTCAAGAAACCGGTTCTTAACTGAGTACTTGGTTCCACTTGACAAATTTTTGACGAATCGATCGTGTACAATTGATCACCTAACTCACGTATGCATACGTGCAAAACGACTCCACTCCATAAGGAAGATCAAAACAAATTTGAAACGATCAAAGAAATAAATTCCCTCATCTGTTATTCTTGAGAACAAATACACTTATTAAAATGCAATAAAAAGGGAATAAACGAAAAAAGTCGTCAATTCTCAAGAATGAGAAAATTTGCGACAATTATCAATATTTCGGGTTGATTAATAATTGATGGATTCACTTTAATAAAACAGAACTAAAAAAACGCTTTGAAAAAGATTTTTCCTGTTAAGAAAGATTTTAATAAATCTCATTAATTGAAAATTCAGAGTCGTCACGTAAATAAGTGTTATAATTAATAGCGGTACACGGAATTAACTAAAAAGAAATATAACCAGACGACTGTGGCAGTACGGTAGCTGCAATTCCCTCTCACGCGACAAGGATACTTATTTATATCTATCCAGCCAATAAATTATACAAGACTTTTTAATTCTTAATTACATGCAAAATGGTTCATAAAATTTCTGTTACGTTCAGTTTAAACAAGAATTTTTTATGGGGGCAAAGATTATTTGAACCGAAGCTTGTCCTAGGAGATCCCTTCTCTTCTGCGAAGACCCAGGACATAGCAAAGGTCAAATATCTTCTCCTTTCCGTATCCTCTCAGCATCTGCACTTTGGACGATCCACCTGTGAACAAAAACTCATCAATTATTAATATCCCATAAAGAAAAATTTTAAAAATTTAAAATTACCTTCAGCTGTACATCCTTCTGCGGAGAATTTCATTTTTAATGAAATCGGTCCAATGTTGATCTAAAAAAGAAATTCGAAAGTTTATTAATAAAATAAAATTCAATGACATACTATTGGTATCATGTTACAAGTTGATCTGACCAAAAATAAAAAGTAAAGGAAGAAGATTTCTGGACAGCGAGGTAGTGCGAAAGAACAGAGAAGAATTTGCGAACCTCGAGAGTGCCTGCGGAGACCACGAACACAAAACAAGAGAGACAGAGGGGTCTTTTTGAGGAGAAGAGCCGACGTAACTCGACACCTGCTGTTCACAGCATTGTTTTCATCCCTCTCACACACGTCTTTTATTTCATTGCCTTTTTTTTCCTCCTCTCGCAGACATAAAGAAACAGCAAAAGTACCTGCCAATAATCTTGACACGCGTTGCTACATGAGTAACTATAGCATCTACAAACGAAAATTTTGCTTTAATATTAAATTATTTTAATAAATTTAACATCCCCTCTCAATTTTGAAATAATTTAAATATTTTTAAATTTTAATTTAAATAATAATTTTTTGTTATTGTGTACTTATTTAAAATTTTTAATCATGTACTAAATATTTGTTTTCGTTTATGTTACAGGATTAGGAGAATTGACTGAAAATGTGTTGCGATCGGTGAATCGAGCGAAATGGCAGCAACAAAAGGAAATTCATTCGGCTTTGACAAACGCGAAAAGTCGAATTTTAAACGATCTTCTGAGCAACAAATTTTTAGGTTTCATTCGACAAAACCAATGGGTTCTTGGAGGGCATGAGCGCTCATCATGTTCAGCAATCGACACGGTCTACAAGTGCCGTCGACCATTTACTTTTTTGGCTTGACGTTCCTTCTGCTAGTGATTGTCGACAGCCACAATGTGTCAGCTGACGGAAATTCCGAATTCGTCAAAGGCAAAAGTGAGAATACATTTTTTTATTCTTGTAATCTAATTCAAAAATTGATAATTTTAAAAAATCGACTAGATTTTTACACGATTTTTCATTTAGATTAAAAGAATAGTCTACATTATTTTATCTACATATTCATCACATTGGGAACATCGGTATTTTAATTTGAATATTTGAAAAATTAATTTTTTTCCCTTTCAGAAATTTTTGTGTTTGAAATTCAACATTTAAACAGTATTAGCGTCTAAAATTTGAAAGGACAAACTGTGTTAAAAAAAAACTTAAAAAATCTCTCCTTACGGTTAAAACCTGTTCGAGTGGGCGTTAGATGTCTTAACATAGATGAATCCTTCTTCGCTTTACTAGAAAGCGTCTTCTCATTCTTTTTCTATGTGGAACACTTTTTTTCAATCCATATAAAAACTCGAGAATTGAGAATTTAATAATTCTCATTAATAATAAAATAAATAATTATAATCATTATCGAGAGAATTAATAAATACGCGTTACTTTCTAACAAATAGAGCGAAGAATTTTTTTCCTCGGCTTTATAATCTATTTTATTTTAAGTTCTTACTCTCTAATGTCTTTTTTTTGTTCTCTAATGTTTAATGTAATGAAAAAAGAGTTAATGTCGCAAGTCGGATTTAAAACAGGTAAAACCGGTACGAGAGTGCACTGTCAAAAATTATAATGCGTGAAGGAATTGAGGTGCGTTAAAAACATAAATTAAAGAACTAGAACCTCTTTACTTTGGAGAGGAGATTTCGTTTTTTTGATAACCACCCAGGAATTCTTCCTGAACGTTGAGTGCATCTCAGATATACTGGATTGCATTATTGAATATTATGTATAAAAGGCAAAGTGGGCTTCGTATAAAAGTTGCCATTAAATTGATAAGGTTTTCTTGGCTACTTAATAGCCATTAAGAAAGGTTCAAGTTGTATCTTTACAACGCCACCTTATCCAAAGTAAAATATATTTTTTTAATCCAATAAGAGAATATGCAATCGTTCTTGAATTATCTGCCGACAGATTTCTCATAAACAAATGAAGAGGATTTTTTTAATTTTTAGCAAACATTTTTAAAGGGAATCTAATAAGAGGGTTACACTTTTGGGAAATTATTTAATAGGGATTTTGTTACGTTCAGTTTAAGCAATAATTTTTCTATGCAGACAAAAATTATTGAAATCTAAGTCAGTCCTAGAAGATCCCTTCTCTTCTGCGAAGACCCAGGACCAAGCAAAGGTCAAATTTTACTTTTGTTTGTTACGTTCAGTTTAAACAACTCTTCTAATCAAGGAAAAGGTTATTTGAACCTAAGCTTGTCCTAGGAGATCCCTTCTCTTCTGCGAAGACCCAGGACCAAGCAAAGGCCAAATTTTTCTTTCGTTTATTACGTTCAGTTTAAACAAGAATTTTTTATGGGGGCAAAGATTATTTGAACCGAAGCTTGTCCTAGGAGATCCCTTCTCTTCTGCGAAGACCCAGGACATAGCAAAGGTCAAATTTTTCTTTAGTTTGTTACGTTCAGTTTAAGCAACTATTTTTCTATGCAGACAAAAATTATTTGAACCTAAGCTTGTCCTAGGAGATCCCTTCTCTTCTGCGAAGACCCAGGACCAAGCAAAGGTCAAATTTTACTTTTGTTTGTTACGTTCAGTTTAAACAACTCTTCTAATCAAGGAAAAGATTATTTAAACCTAAGCCAGTCCTAGGAGATCCCTTCTCTTCTGCGAAGACCCCCTCACAGCACCGGGATATTCAAGATATCCCAGAGACGTCCTGGGGATATCGATTTGTTTTCGGAAGTTTGGATATCTCTGGGATATCCTATGGACGTCCATGGATATCCAGAGGATATTCCAGGGATATCCAAACTTCCGAAAACAAATCGATATCCCCAGGACGTCTCTGGAATATCCTGAATATCCCGATGCTGTGAGGGCAGGACCAACAAAGGTCAAATATTTCTTTTGCTTCCTTCTCCCTTTCTACTCCTGCAGTCAACCTGTGAACAAAAATTGTTATTAATTAATAGTAGATTAATATATTCTTACTAGAGAAATTATATTTCAAAACCGGAGTACAGCATTAGTACATTGAATAAAATAGTTTTCTTCTCCCTTTGTTTCAACAAATTTTGAACTTGTTTTAAAATTCCAAAAATTTTTCCAACAATCAATTACCGTGAAATTTTCGAGAATCAAAAACATCAGGCATGTACTAATCGTCGTGAATGTTAGCATTCCGGGTGGTATTTTGCGATGGTAGACACGCACATACGCACACATACCTCAAGTTGACAATCTGGTATCGCTTATTTTAATGCTGATCCCATGGAGAGTAAATAAAGTGGGTAAATACTAAAGCACATAATAATGTCGCTGTGTCTTCTCCAGGGCGATGGTAGGGAAGGAGACCTTTTAACAGGTAGTTGAAGATCTTCTGGTCGTTTCTGTCAAATGATCGATGTCACGAAGATTCTTCGAGTTCTCTTGATATACCAATGTCTTATACATAAATACAGAAACAAAAGTTGAACGTCAGCTGATGCCTTAATTGAGCGCTCGGAATATCGACGAGATTCAGAGACGAATTGAGTCGTTGAATTATCCGACGGGGGTGCTTTTTTGCGTCGATGAAATATGACCGCTCAATATTCTTTGACGATATTTATGTACTGTTGCCAGACTTTCCAGTTGTATATACAATATATACTTACAGGCAGAGTCATTGACGACAGGACCCGCAGGACGAGAGAAAGAATCGGAACCGTCCACAAAGCGAACATAGATTATCCCAACAACATTGAAACCCGTTCTCTTCCAAAATAAAAATTCATCTTTCGAATTGCACTCTCAATGTACATATGGATCTTTTATTGATATCTGTTTAGCTCTCGAAAAAATTTCGGCCTCTTTCAGTCGCCATGCCAATGAAAAAGAAATTATTTTTAATTTCGCCCATCATGATAAATGTAAAATATATTTTATTTAAATCGAACCAAAATAGATTTTGGATTTTTTATGTTGATGCTAATAACGGAGTACAGAATGTTAACAAAAACATCCCTCTGGAGGAAATTCGCGAAAACTAATAATGACGGGAATTTGAAAATTGCGAAAATACAAATAGGAATAAAAATAAAACGAAGAATATTATTTTCAATGAGAAAATTTATATTGTTATATTTTCTCATTCGAAACGAACTAAAGGGCAGATGGTTTTACACCGAAGGCGTGGGATCTTCAATTCTTAACCTTTTGCGATAAAAATCACTTCCACTTTTCGTTCGATAAAATTTCCATATTTTTTCGTTTTCTATAACGTTGAATAGAGATCAATCTTCGGAAAAATTTTCCAAGTCCGGAAGTGCCTCTATTGATGAATAAGAGTTAAATTTTGTCTCTATTGAATAGTTTCCATAAAACATTTTATATTTATAAATTTTCCTATTTTTATTAAAAAATACGAAATTATTATTTTGCAACTTAAAAATTAAAATGTAATTTTAAAAATTGCAAATGTAAAAAATCCAATTTCTTTAGGGTAAAATTTTATGTTCTTTTTTTGGAAGAAAATAAATAATATACTGCTTTTGATACAGGAAAATGATGAAGAACATTCGATGAATCTTTTCCAACACAATAGAATTCCTCTCGGCAGCTGACTTTTCTACCTGATGTGTATGAAATGCGAACAGATTAGATTCTTCTTCATGAGTTTCTTTGTTATTCACCGGCACCCCCTCTTCTTTCTAACCAACAAGTTCTTCACTTGCGTGGAAAAAACTTCAAAAAAGAATAAAAAAAATACAGTTAAAAAATTATTTTCCAGACATTGAGATGGTTTATAGCTCGTTTTTATGGCTATTTATCACGAGTGGTGCGCTATTTATTGCCCTCCTTGAGGAAAAAAAATGTTCAAGGTTAAAACTAATAAGTAATAATAAAACTGGAAGGAATTTATTTTCTTGATATTTCTTCCTATTTCTCCTCTGAATGTTCGTTTCTAATGGAAAATTAATGAAATGAATAAAATTAATGTCGATTTTTTTAACACGAAGGGTGAGGTTAACAAGATTATTTGACAACGCCTTTTCCATCTTTGAAACCTGATGCGAGGATCCCCTTTGTTTCTTCAGTTTGGATGTTCAACGTTCGACGATGCATCGCGTTCAAGGCCACTTTCACAAGAGGTCGAATGCAGGTCATGATTTTTTTATTAATCCTTTAGGATCTCTTATACTCCAACACCCACAATGCGAGATCAATCGATTATCGATGACCTCGAATCAATTTGTAAATGGATTTATTTAATATTTTATAGAAAACCTAACAGAAATGGAAACAGTAATTCTAAAATAATTAGGATATTCTAAGAACTTCTTAATATCCTACGGATACCAGGAGAGTCGACTATCATCAATTTTCAAATATCCAATAATATTCTGAATATCCTGACGCTCTTCGGGAATATAAAATATTGAAGAAATTCTTCTCATAACTGAAAGTACTAAATTTGAATATATTTTTTCTCTGCTCGAAAGTTCTGAAATTACGAACCCGCGGAGAAGTTCATGTGCCCTCATCAGACGTGTGGTTCAGCCTCTGCTGGCTGCTGAGGTTGCAGAGGTGAGATCCGAGAGTGTTGGAGCAAAAGAGAAAGGATAAATGGTGGTTAGAGTCGAATATATAGAGGGTGAAGAATGAAGGAAAATGAGAAGGAGAAAGAAAAGAGGAGGGAGAGAGAAAGAGAGAGAGTGAGTGAGGGAGAGAAGAAGATAAGAAACACGAGAAGAGAGGAGAATTCTTTCAGGATCAACTGAGCGAGAGAAGCGAATGCCCTTAGCTTCTGGTCTGAGCAAGAAGAAAGAACAAAGCACATTCCAAGTACATACCTTCGTTTGTTCCTTGTCCGCACTAGTCCTCAGTTAGTTTAATTCATCATTACTCATTATTTCTTCACCTCGGCGATGATGAATGTCGACTGAAAGACCGCGC